GCAGACAAGAGGCTGCTAAAGTTGGGGGCTGGGGTGCAGCCACTATCGGAAGGGGGCCATTCAGCTAGGGAAGCTTCAGGCTGTCAGGCCTAAAGGGCCTTGGGGGTCAAATGGGGAAACAGGCCTTTGGCAACAGGGCCCGCCCAGCTGTACCTTCAGCTGCAAGGTTCCCGAGGATGGTCCCGTCCCTGGGCACCTGCTAAGGCTACAGAACCAGGTCACACCTGGCACAGCGAGGTCGTGTGTTTGGTCACACAGTAGCTGGGCGAGGTTGGAGGGGAAGCCCCAGTGAAGGCAGGGCCTCCAAGGTCAGCCACAGAGCTGGGCTTGCTCCTAGGGGATCGGGGCAGGGAAGGCATGGGCGAATCCAGGTACAGAGGCTGGGTCAGGACAGAGCCTAAGCCGAGAAAGCCTGGCTTGTGCAGGCCTGGCTGGGGTGTCCTGAGTATGTCTATCCAGGTCCCCATGTGCTCTGGGGCTATGCTGTGCACCGTGGGCCACACTGCCAAGTCGGAATAGCTCAGGTGCCCCGGGTAGGGGAGAAGGAGCAGAAGAGCCCCTGCTGAGGGAGGTCTGTGTAACGCAGAACGGCCAGCCAGGGCGAGCAGCCAGCCAGGGCCACCACCCTGAGAGGGGACTGAGCTTGGAGTGTTAGGCGGCAGGGAGTTCTGTAGGGCTGGAGTTGAGCGTGAGTGGGGGGCTGGGGAGGGGATGGGATGTGGCAGGGAGGAGGGCAGAGAGGGAGTGATGGCCGTCCCAGGCAGACGCTCCATGATGGGGACAGGCAGGTGTGGAAGGCCCCCCTCAACCCTTCCATCCAAAGACCTGTGCAGCACGCCATCCTGGGCCTTGATTTTTGGAGCACCTGCGGTGGCCCGGGGAGGGGTTCTGTTGCTAGGGGAGCAGCCCTGGCTGCAGGACTAGGCCGTGACTGACGTGGGTCCCGTTGCCATGGAAGGTGGCCTTGTTGCTGCCTCCCTCCCCAGGCCTGGTGTCTTCCATGGTCTGGCTGCCAGGCAGGGCCAGTTGTGTTTCTTGGACAGCAACCGAGGAAGGAATGACCTCCCCTAAACCCGGTCTCCTTGACTGAGCCTCGGTTTGCCCTTCTGTAAAATGGGGGTGCTTGCCCTTTGGGTGGCTGTAAGGGGTGGGCGAGTTGGCACTGAACATCACCTGAATGTGCCACAGCTCCTCCTGGCTCTAGCTCACTGGGCCCTGGGAGCACTGATGGGGTGTCGGGGGGGGGGAAGAGATTCTGGGTGACCATGGTGGCGGTCACCCTGTACCCAGGCTTTGAGCTGCTGTACCAGCCGGAAGTGGTCCGTCTCTACCTCTCCCTCCTCACGGAGAGCCGGAACTTCAATACCCTGGAGGCTGCGGCAGGTGCTCTGCAGAACCTCAGCGCCGGCAACTGGATGGTGAGGGGCAGGTGTGGCGGGGAGAGCGACCTGGGATCAGAGAATACCAGGTGCCCTATGGGCGCTGCTGCTGCTGGCGGGGGCGGGGGGGGGGCGCGGCACACACGGTGCTGGCGGGGCTGGTGGGGAGCCGAGCAACACAGCGCCTTCCTAAGGTTGCGAGGTTCAGCGCAGGGGCTGCTGGGAGTGCACCCCGGGCTGGGAGCGGAGGTGGCGTAGAGCTGTTGGAGCAGGGCTTGCCAGGCGGTGGAGCAGACTGGCCCACTCGGAGCCATCCCTCTGCCTCTGCAGTGGGCCACGTACATCCGCGCCACCGTGCGCAAGGAGCGTGGGCTGCCGGTGCTCGTGGAGCTGCTGCAGTCGGAGACAGACAAGGTGGTGCGCGCCGTCGCCATCGCCCTGCGCAATCTCTCACTGGACCGGCGCAACAAGGACCTCATTGGTGAGGGCGCTTGCGAGGCCAAGCTGGGGTTGGAGCAGGGTGGGGGACTCAGAAGCCCTGCTCTTGGGGACTTTTCAGGGTTCCAGGCTCCATCCTGTCTTTTGAACCCAGTCCCTGCTGTGGGAGCACGCGTCTCCCATACCCAGTCCGTCCTTGTGGGGAACCCTGCTTTTTCCCTTGGTCGGGCCTGGGGTGTGTCCTCACACCGACCCTGCCCCTCAGGGAGCTACGCCATGGCAGAGCTGGTGCGGAACGTGCGCAATGCGCAGGCTCCAGCACGGCCCGGGGCCCGCCTGGAGGAGGACACAGTGGTGGCCGTGCTCAACACCATCCATGAGATCGTGTCCGACAGCCTGGACAATGCACGCTCGCTCCTGCAGGCCCGAGGCGTGCCTGCGCTTGTGGCTCTGGTCGCCTCCAGGTGGGCGTGGGGGGCGTGGCCTGAGGGTGGGGCCAATGGTGGAGCGTGGTCTTGGGCGGGGCCAAGAGGTGGGGCGGGGCTGGCTGCTGACTCCCGCCCTGGACCCCCGTAGCCAGTCCGTGCGCGAGGCCAAGGCGGCGTCGCACGTGCTGCAGACTGTGTGGAGCTACAAGGAGCTGCGCGGCGCCCTGCAGCGGGACGGCTGGACTAAGGCACGCTTCCAGGTGCGGCCCACCCAGCCTGCCTTCTCTCACTTCCTAAGATCCAAGTCCCCAGGAGGACCTGTCCCTGACCTCACCACACCTGTTTTGTGCCCCTGCAGTCTGCCGCAGCTGCCGCCAAGGGGCCCAAAGGAGCACCGAGTCCTGGGGGCTTCGATGACAGCACGCTGCCACTGGTGGACAAGAGCCTTGGTGAGTAGAGGCCAGGGGAACAGGGCGGGGCCCAGGGAACCCATCCCTGAAGCTCAGGAGTGACAGGTTGGGTGAGGGAGGGAGGAGGAGCAACACAGATCTCCCATAGAAGTGGCCCCAGGGTTGCAGGGCCTCCTTGTGGCCTCCTGGGGTGCCCCCTTCCTGTGGTGTCTGCATTGGCACCAACAGGCCGAGGGACGCAGAGCCGGTGAGAGGGCACCCAGGGTGGCCGAGGTCTCCCCTGTGTGGGCTTGTCCACCTTAGTGCCTCGTACCCAGTCACCCACTCCCGCCCTGCAGACAGTGAGAAGCCTGGCAGCCGGGACTTGATCCCCATGGACACGCTCGGCCCAGGTGAGCACAGGTGCGGGAGGAGGCCTGGGAGGGGCCTGAGGGGCCTGCCGGGTTTATGGGGTGAGCGTGGCTAGTGCTGATACGGCCTCCCGAGGGGTGGCTAGAACAGAGGTGGTTTAGGGGGCAGGCAGGGGCCTGGGGGAGCTACCCCTGGCACAGGCCTCTGGGATGTGGCTGGCGGGCCCTCTCCTGTCCAAAAGGGCCGCCCACATCTGGGTGAGGGCCACCCTTCCTGCCTCTGAGGTTTTCCTTCACTGCCCCTCCCTACCCCATCCACCCCACAGATGGCTACTCCACAGTGGACAGGAGGGAGCGGAGGGTCCGGGACAGTGACTCTGCAGGGGAGGCGTCTGAGAAGGAGCCCTTGAAAGTAGGTGGCTGAGAGCAGGCACCCAGGGAGGCCCTGTTGGGGTGGCCCAGGCAGGGCTGAGTTTGGTCTGGGTCCCGGGGGTACACTCAGGGTGGGCTCGTCCTCTGGGCAGCTGGGCTGAGGGATAAGCCCGGGAAACAACGCATCAAGTCGGGGCAGCTCCTGGGTGCTGATGGCTGGAAGCTCGCGCTGTTGGGAAGAGGGAAGAGGGGGGCAGTGCGAGCACGGACGCCTTTCTCTGCATGCACTGCGAGGAGGCGGAGCCTGCACCGTGCCCTGGGCCAGCCCGGGCCTCGTCCTGGGGCGTCTGTGTAATGTGCCAGCTGGGCCCTCGCCCTCCGCGCTCTGCTGCCCTGGCAGGCCCACCTTCATGCCACTGCAGCCCTCCCCTGCCCCAGTCTGTCATCTCCACTAACCTGCTCTGTTCTGCCTCTAACGCCCTGCTGCCCGCCTGCCCGTGCGCTGCTGCAGCCCGACCCCGGCAGGAAGGCCCCTCCTCCCGGGCCCAGCAGGCCCGCGGTCAGGCTGGTGGACGCCGTGGGGGACGCTAAGCCTCAGCCCGTTGACTCCTGGGTCTAGCATGCATGCCTGGTACGTTCTCTTGTCGTTTGTCCCCTGGCCCCCCATTCCCGAGGCCAGCTTCCTGTCGATCTGTGCTGGCTGTGTGCTCTGCTCACTGCGTGCTCCCCGCGGGACCTGCATCCAGCCCAGCCCGACCCAGATCTGGGAGAGAGGGGTCTCCCTGGGCCCTCAGTCCCATCCCAGGCACTCTGGGCTCAGACGGTCTCAGACGCTTAGGGCGCTGTACAGACCAGACCCGGTGGTAGTGGGTCTGCATCACCCTCGACGGCTGCCTTTGTCCACGTGTCTGCCCACATAGCCTGGGGAGACCCAACCCCCGAACGCCTAGCCGCGCCCTACTGCAGCCTCTGCCTTCCCCTCCCTCCCTCCGCAGGGCCCCAGCCCAGCCGTTTGTTCATAGGGATTGGATGCCCAGGAGAAGGGCCGTCCTGAGCAGACGCCGCCGCGGAGCTTGGAGCCCCCTGGTGGCAGAGGCTGGCAGCACCTCTTGCCCCGAGGACACCGCCAGTCCTGCCCCCTCCCTGCCTTTGCTCTCCCCACCTAACTCTAGCTGAGTTAGCTGTTGATTGACATGGTGCTGTGTGCGTAAGGGAGGGAAGGCCCGAGGAGGCGGGGCTTCCGGGGCGGGGCCCAGGGAGGCAGCCCGGGAGGTGCCTGGCTTTGTTTTGGGGCAAGTGGATTAGGAATGTGCCCCTGTGTGCAGCGCCCTAGAGTGAGCCGGCCTGGAGGCGGAGACTCGGGGGCAGCCAGCCTGGCAGGGAGGGGGAGGGACTCCCCAGGGCCCGAGTCACCCCGCATGCCCCGGGTGGCAGACCTGGGCATGCATCTGCCCCGAGAGCTAGCCAGGCAGGGAGGCTCTGGAGGCTGTGAGCTGGGGATGAGGTTGTGCTTGCCCCCAGCTCCCTGGGAGCCCTGGGGATGCAGCAGAGCCCCTCCCTGAGCCTGGGCTGGCCGCAGCTGCCACCTCTGCACCTGCCGAGGACCTGGTAGCAGCTCTGGGACTGACCTCTGGCGGCAGCGAGGGACTGCTGCTCAGTGCCTGCTGTTTGTGATTTAAAGACAGAAGAGAAACACTGACAAAAGCATTAAAAACGAAACCAAAACAAGATTGTATTGGTACATCTAAATTTTTGTAAGAAAACTCAAAAATTAAAAAAAAAAAAGAAAAAGCAGCAAAGGAATTTCCTGTCTTCGGTGGTTCCGATCTTGTCCTCAGCTGCCAGCTCCGAGGCTGAGCTGTTCGTCCGGGTGGGAAAGGGGCGTAGGTGACTCCAGGATACCCATGTGCTATGTGGAGTGGGTGGGGCTCCGCCCACACTGGCCTGGTTTCTGGGTGCTCAGACCCCCCTGAGCCCCGTGCCATCATGGCTGGTCTGGGCACAGGTGAGCCAAGCCAGGATAGAGCTGACCTTAGTCCAGCCTAGAAACAGGGCCTCTAACGGGGTCTTGGGGAGCCTGAGGTGGCCAGTATTTGGTGCAATTGAGGGCCGCAGGGCCAGGGTGTGAGCTGGGGACAGCTCTGGATTTTGCTAGACACGACCCAGCTCTGCCTGGTTATGGGCCAGCTGGTGACCAAGCTGCGACCAGCCTGGGCCTGGTACCTTTTCCAGAAGCAGGGCTGGGTGGGACTAGGAAAGGTGCCTCTGCTCCGTGCCATGCATGGCCGGGTGGCAGGGCGGGCACTGCTGCATGGTCTGGCCTCACCTGTCCCCAGCACCTGCCTGGTCACAGGTGTAGAGAGTAGCTGATGACCCTGCCCCACCACGGGCCCCGCCTGCGGCCCTAGTGTCCCACCAAGGGGAGGTCAGCGTGTTTGGTGCCACAGTTGAAAACAATGGTACCGTTTCTAGTATCTAAATATTTAGATCTTTAATTCTACATTGTTTCAAACATAAGAACGTTAACAGCTAGCCGGTTTTAATAGAGGACATGTGTGATTTGTTCTTAAAAAGAAGGTGAAAATTTGGGGGTTCGGAAGCGCGGCGTTTATAGCTGGTGGCAGTGCTGTCACCGAGGCACTGCTGCCACCTGGTGACAGTAGCCGGGCCACATCCTGAGTACAGGACTCAGCAGGCCAAGAGGTTTCCAATTTCCCCACCCCTTCCCGTGTCAAATCGGTAGTTGTGCCCAAAGACCCGCCCACGTGGAGACCCTCTCTGAAGGCTGGTGCGTGTGAGGTATACTGGCCGGGCACCCCCTGCCTGCCTGGGCTCCCGGGTGGCCTTTCTCACTACGTGTGGCTGCTGTGGTGATCCTGCATGGGGGGTCCGCTGTTCCTGGCGGGGGGGCTGGTGTCTGATCCGCTGGGGCCGCAGCACAGGGTCAACAGGCATGTGGCAGTGGCACCTTTTAGAAGCAGGCCTGGTGCGAGGACCCAGGACAGGGCAGGCGGTCATGGCTGGCCCGGGCCCACGTAGACGGCCTTCTCCAGGCCGTCCACCACCTCCGACCGGTACTCCAGGTAGGAAGAGTAGTGCGTGCACTCAAAGCGGTTGTTCCCGCGCACGTACGCCAGGAATTCCGGTGTTCCCGGGATGATGACGTTGTCTGCCAACAGCACCGTCCCCTTCCGCAACAGGCCACACTCCTGCAGGGGACAGACAGCCGGAGGGGCAAGAGTCAGGGCTCGCTGCAGGCCTGTCCCATGCCAGGGCACGTGCTCAGTGCAGCTGCGCCTCCCCACACTGGGCCGTGCCTAGCCCCGGGGCCCAGGTCGTTTTCTCGCCAGCTGCAACCCCACCAGGAAAGAGATGTGCAAGGCGCAGGTCTCTCCACACCACAGACTCCAGGGTGGGCCTTCCGCCCCTCTGATGTCCATATCCAGCCAGCCCCCAGGAACAGGGAACAGCAGATGCAGTAAACACAGCCTGCCAGGACAAATACATGGAGGCAGTGGGGCAGGAGGCCAGTGACCCCTCAGACATCTGGTGTCAGGGACACCAATGGAGGTGCCCAGAGTGCAGGCTGCTGATGAGGTCACTAGAGACAAAGTTAGCCTGACCAGGGACCGGCAGTTAGTGTATGGCTATGTCGCTGGATTCCCATGTAGTTGACTCTGGTTCGAGTCCCGGATCCAGTGAGTGGCTTAAACTCATGTCGGGCGTGTGTGCGTGTGTGCCCGAGATCCCAAGAGGAGAAAGGAAGAGAAGGGATTGCAGCATGGCCACTGCCCCTGGGGTGTGATTTCTCGATTTCTCTCTCTCTCTGTCTCTCTCCGTCTTTCTGGTGAGTGCATGAGCCCTATAGCAAAAACCTCTCCCAAACAAAAACAAAGCCTGACCCAAGGGGACTGCAGGGCTGGGGGAACAGAGCCCCATCATGGACAAGCCTCTCCCTCGGCCCTCTGCTCTGGCTGCCCCAGGCTTCCTGCATTTGCAGCCCCAACTACAGCGACGCCTGGGCTAGTTAGAGCCGAGGTCCTGGGCCTGACTTCTTGGTGCTTGGCCGTGTGCCGTGACCCAGACCGGCCAAGACAGCGGACGGTGGCATGGGGACTCTGTTGGTGCCTGTGTCTCTCTCATGGAATAAACAACAACAATGTATCTTTCAGAAAGGTGAAAAAGCAATCTAAAGAGCCAGCACATGACCTGATGGTTCAGGTACTGGACTCTCACATGGCTGACCGCAGTTTGAGTCCCACATGTGGAGGCGTGAATATCACATTGGGCGTGCATGTGTGCGTGCCCAAAACGTCAGGAGAATGGACAAGGGAATGCGGCGTGGCCATCCCCCGAGAGGGTGATCTTTCCTTCTCGCCGGCTCTGTCTCTCTGGTGAGAGCACGCACCCTGTGGCAAAAGCCTTAAAAAAAAAGAGAGAAAAAACACTGAAAGCAAATTCAAACACGTGACCCTGAGTGTCTCAAACCACAGGCAGGAGGGGTCTTGGTGACTTGGAAACACTGTCCCTGGACTCTGCCCCCCTCCAGGGACATGCACTGCGGATGGCCTTCCAGTGTCTTGGGGGTGCTGGCGGTCACTTCCAGCCTGTGGGCTACAGCAGAAAGCAGGGGCCAGAGCTTTTTTTTTTTTTGGAGAGGTTTTTGCTATAGAGCACGTGCACTCTCCAGACAGACAGAGAGAGACAGAGGGACAGAAAGCGAGAAATCACTCCCAGGGGGGGATGGCCACACCGCAATCCCTTCTCCTCCATTCTCCTCTTGGGATCTTGGGCACGCACACACATGCACCCAGCGTGAGTTTGAGCTACCGGGTCTGGGACTTGAACCGCAGTCAACTACATGGGAGTCCAGCGACATAGCTATATATGCTAACTGCTAGTCCCAACCATGAGGTCTTTTGTCTGAAGGGAGGAAAAAAAAACGGACCAGCAGCTGGCATGATGGTTACTGGACTCCTGCGTAGTCAACCATGGTTTGAGTCCTAGACCCAGGGGCTTAAACTCCCGGCAAGCGCATGTGCATGCATGTTCAAGATCCTGAGAGGAGAAGGGACTGCGGGGTGATTTCTCACTTTCTGTCTCTCCGTCTCCCTGGAGAGCGCACCTGCCCTATAGCAAAAATCTCTCTTAAAAAAAAAAAGAAGAAAATGAATGCCCTAGCACCATCAGTTGAAAAAGCTAAGACAGGGACCAGCAGTTGGCGTAATGGCTATGTCACTGGACTCCCACGTAGTCAACCAAGGTTCGCGTCCCGGACCCGGTGGCTTAAACTCACACCGGGCCTGTGTGCATGCATGCCCAAGATCCCGAGAGGAGAATGGAGGAGAGGGGATTGCAGCGTGACCATC